CAACCACATTTTTCATATACTTACTCGGATAGTCTCGGAGGAAAAATGAGATTCTGAGATCATCAGATTTCCAGTCTCGTCCAGTTTAACAATGGCTCCAGAATTGGCCTGGACTTCAGCCTCGAATGCCTGGTGTTTCTGGAGTTTTCCCTGTAAGATAACAAATCTTTCATTAGCCTACCAGTAAGAACAGAATATTACGCTGGGTTTTAGAATATGGAAGAACTGGTTTAGTTGGGTTGGTATTGTAGCTTTGGTTATAAGGCTCCTGAAGGTTAAATGTCTCTTATTTAGCCCTACTCGGATCCTCCAGCCATGCTAAGCAGCACGCATGGAATAATTTACCCTAGTGACTATTGTTGTTAGTAGGGATGCAAAAATACTGTTTTTTTTTAAATCGAGTATCGATTTTTTTTTTTTTTTTTTTAAATGGGACTTCACCGATACCGGAATTCCCATTAAGGAAGCCGAGCGGTGAGGCATTACACACCACCTAGTATATAATGACTCGCCACCCGGCTTCCCGATTAGCAGCAAAGCACTCTCCATGCTCCCTCATCAGCAGGTGACAAGGAAGCATGAAGGCGAGTCATTACACGCTGCCCTGCTTCCAAGTGTCACCAAGTGACGAGGGAGCATGAAGCCGGCTTTCTGGCCAATCAGGAAGCCAGGCAGCGTGTAATGACTCGCTGCCCGGCTTCCGGAAGTTCCGGTAGCGGGATAGGAAATTAGGAGCATTTGGCCTACCTCTACACAGGCTATCCCTGCTTCAGTCTATCATGAATGCTGCTGCTAGACTCCTTCACCTAACCAACCCCTCAGTGTCTGGAACCCCCCTCTGCCAATCCCTGTACTGACTTCCATCTCCCAATCCCTGCACTAGCTTCCATCTACCGCCCCCCTCTACCAATCCCTGCACAGGCTTCCATCTCCCGCCCCCCTCTGCCAATCTCTGCACTGGCTTCCAGTAGCCGAAAGGATAAAATTCAAAATATTAAAACCACTTAAGCCATCCGCAACTCTGTCCCCCGGCTATATCTCAAACCTGGTCTCAAAGTATCAACCTAACCTTCCCCTCCGCTCTTCCGAAGACCTCCTGCTTTCCAGCTCCCTCGTCAACTCTGCCCATGCTCGCTTCCAAGACTTCATTAGAATCCCTCCCATCCTCTGGAACTCTTTACCCCAACTGTCCCGACTATCTCCCACTCTGACTGCCTTTAGGCGATCCCTTAAGACTCATCTCTTCAAGGAAGTTTATCCCAACCCAAACTAACCACTCAACCATCACGGTCTCATACAATTCATCCCCACACAGCTACCTCCTCATGTATCACTTGCCCCTCCCTTTTAGAGTGTAAGCCCTCATGGGCAGGGCCCTCCTTACCATCTTGTCTTGAATTGTGATTGTAATGTCTTCCTTATATTGTGCGCTGGTGCAAACTGTTGGCGTTATATAAATTCTGTATTATAACAATAATAATTTGAGCGAGGAGTTCCTCGCCCAAATACTCGGTATCAGCACTGATACTAGTATCGGTGCATCCCTAATTTTTTGGCAGCCGGTACAAGCGGCTGTCCATATACCCAAAGAGTAAGTGCATTTGATTGGATGCAGTCACTGTTTGGGCGACAATTTCTTACCCGGCACTTTGGCAATTTCAATTAAAGTATGTCAAGCCAAGTGGTGCCAACAGGGCACTCAAATTTCATCCCATTTAGCAAGAATTTGAGCCGTGTATGGTTGGTTACCTTTAGTTTTAGCTTGTAGATGGGGCTACACTTTTCTTATGCATTAAGTATTTCTGCACATATGCTGAATACATGCTGTGTATCCATACCACCATGTAGCTGCTTGGGTTGGCTACATGGCAACTTACCCAAACCCCAGTGTAGTCACCTACCTGAAGGTTTGTGGGATCCTTGTAGTTTTCGTCGGAAGCGATCTGGAGCTTCTCCTGGATCCATTTTTCAAGCTCGTCAGCATCGCGTTGAAAGAACTGGAATCGGTAGGAGTCCTCTAGCTTCTGGCGCCTGATGCCGGAAAGCTCCTTGAACCGCTTGTAACGATCCAAAACCTGCTGTCTTCTCTCCTGGATGTCATCTGCTGACTCCAGCACTTTAACTCCACCTGAATCCATTTTCTAAATTAGAAGACAACAGGAGGAAAAAAAAAGAAGGTCAGCATAAAGAGCAGGAAGCAACAGTGAAATAAAAAGTACCAAGTAAACTGTAAAAAGGCTGCGACTGAGTAAGATGGCAAAGTGCAAAGTACAGCACATCCAGTGGGTGACACAATAAGGCCCCTTTCCCACTGCGCGATATGCAAATCGCGCATTTGTCGCGCGATTTGCATATTGTGCGACATCGCGAGATTTGCCGCGCGATGTCGCGTTCAAGCATGCATTGAGCAAGCTTGAATCGCAGCTAAATCTGCTCCAAAAAGGGTCCTGCTGTAGCGACACACGACCCGCGACAGCAGGACCCTTTGCCCCATTGGATTGCATTGGAGCGCGATATCGCGCAGTAATTTGCCAGGGAATTACCGCGCGATAAATCGCTCAATGTGAACGGGGTCTTAGGGAGAGGAAAGTTATGGAGCTAAGAAATGTAGGTCTTGGGTTCGGGAATAATATATGAAGAGATGGGATTGATGGGCTGTGCCATGTTGGATTGCCTGCTGCTATCAACTGTCCTTTCCTACATCTACGCCTTAAGGAGAACTATGACATGAGTGATTTCCACTCACGTCATAGTTCTAAGCCGACCTGTGACAATGAGACTGTCACAGGTCGGCTCAGTAGATTGGGAGGTGAGGGAAAACATACCGGGTTCCCTCACCTCTCGATCCTGTCACGGCTCTCTGCCGTGACAGGGGGAGGGGCTGGATTCCCCTCTCCGATCTGCCACTCACGCAGCTGGGCGGATCCCGTCATCTAAGTCGGGATCCGCTCCAGGTGTGGCGTCTCAGTATACCGCGAGCTGTAGCTCGCGGTATACTGAGCTTAGGGTGACGGGAGGACGCTAGTTTGTGTCCTCCCGTTACCCCAAGAAGAACTATGGGGAAAAACACTGACCCCATAGTTCTCCTTTAAAAGCCAGGCTGGACAAATCCCAGGAGCCAGGTCGCCAACGCTCCCCGAAAAATGACAGCTAGAGTCCAACTTTTGAGGTTAAAATGAATGGATGTCACCAGCACACCAATGATAATGCAGACCAAAGTGTTTGTTTATTGGAACGTCATGTCACCACAACTAGCGCTTTCGGGGCCACGCAGGGTTCCCTTCATCAGGTTTAGCAATGACAAAGGTCATTGCCGAGCCTGATGAAGGGGACCCTGCGCTAGTTCCCAAGACTGGGAAGTGTTATAAATCTCGATAAAAATTGATGCCATTCGGTGACAAATGTTCGAGGTGATCATTATAAATTCTTAAATGACAGCAAAATAATTGAAAAGGTGTAAACTAATAACTCGCATTGTGACTGATTCGGGAAAGGAAGAACACTAAAACAGTAAAGTTTTACAAAGCCACAGAATAATGGACATGAGGGATGCAGGAAAATTATAGAGCTGTAACAAACTAACTATTTGACTAAGTCGATTAAAATCGATGATAGAAAATGTTGTCAACGTTTTCCATCTTCGATTAGTTGCCCGTTGCCGGCTCCACACACGCCGCACGCTTCATGCCTTACGCCGCACCTCCTCCCCGCCTCACAAAGCTCTGAGCACTCTCTCGTCGCTGCCTGCGGCCGAGAACGACGTTGAAGAGACTGCAGCGTGGGGGAACGAAGATCTCGGGGAAGAAAGTAAAGTTGCTTGCAGGTAAGACTGCCTACACTTTTCCCCCACATGCTGTATAAATGTATTGCTGGGATAGTGGGAACTGTTGTATTCCTCTATAGCGGGTGGTCCTCTATAGCGGGTGGTACATTGCGCTGTATATGTACCATCAGCTATAGAGGAATACAAATCCCAGTAATACATTATACACCGTGTGTATAATGTATTGCCAGGATGTGTTGTATTCCTCTATAGCTGGTGGTATATTCTGCATTGCGCCCTATAATCATTATACAGCGCAAATCATTTACCACCAGCTATAGAGGAATATAACAAATCCTAGCCAGCAATAATACATTAAACAGTGGCGCAATGCATGCAGAATACAACCAGCTATAGAGGAGTACAACAAATCCAGGCAAGAGTACATTATAGTATAATGCATTTGCTGGGATTTGTTGTATTCCTCTATAGCTGGTGGTATTCTGCATGCATTGCGCCACTGTTCAATGCATTATTGCTGGCTAGGATTTGTTGTATTCCGCTATAGCGGCTGGTATATTATTCATGTATCACTCGGCCGTAGATCCTCAAATCATCTATGAATTGGTGCCGACACTGGCCTTCCTTCTGAAGGGGGGCTACTTTTGTTCCCCATGGTCCCTGTGTGTTGTAACATAGCCGCCACTCCAAGCTTGCTCCCGTCATGGACTACAATCTCAATACAAAGTAGTATTCCATCACTGGAGCCCCCTTTTTAAAAAAAAATAATTTTTACCTTATCGAACTTAATTGGCTAACAAATCGATTTTGAAAATAATATTTCGCTGCAGCCCTAGAAAATTAATAAATGTCCCTCATGCAGTCATTCCCTTGTAGGTGCAATGTAAGAATGCTCTATTCAAGCCCTTATGGACATCTACAGTGATCAATATTATAAAATCAAGGTGTACCAGTGGTGAGCAAACTCCAGCCCTCCAGCTGTGCTTGAACTACAAATCCCATCATGTATTAAGTCTCAGGGAGTCATGCCTGTGGCTGTGAGAATCTTGCAATGCCTCATGGGATTTGTAGCTCCACAACAGCTGGAGAGCCGGAGTTTGTCCACCCACTGATTATACCAAGAAAAAAACACAAATCACTTCCGCACACTAAGGCCAGGTTTAGACGTGTGCGATCAGTGACCGCGCTGCAATTTTGCACGATACCACGTGGATTGCCGTGCAGTCACGGAGTTGTCCACCACCACCAATCACGCTGGCGGTGCCATTATTTTCTAATGGCACCCCAGTCGCGCGATTCCGCCCGTGCAAATCGAACAGATGCGCATGGTGTGTTGCAAAAAAAAAAAAAAAAGTACATGTACCATTTTTCTGCGATGTAACCCCATTGAAATCAATAGAGCCGCACGGCAATCGCTGTGCGCAATTTTGATGATCACGCGTCACAGATCGCCCAGGTCTGCACAAGCCTTTATATTTGATGAGAAAAATATAAAATGGTGTTTTATGTACAATAACAACCAAGTTCCAAACACTTGTAAACATAAACAAGCAACTGACTGTTATGAAGATAAACACCAAACACTTATTAGGACAAGTTTGAAAATAAACAAAACAAATCGGAGTTTGTTTGCACTCGAAGAACAGCGATCTAAATGTTTTTGTTACAGAATTCATAAAATAGTAAGGGGTGAAGGAAAGTGGGACAGTCCCTTGAAATAAGGACAGCTGGGAGTCAGGCTTTTGTTATTTTTGACCATTTTAGCGACCATTATCCGGTTCTCTGACTGCGTGTACAGCTGGGCGCACCAACAACTGGGCTCAGCACAGGAGCTGCTTTATAAACCGAAACAGATTATTGTTTAGCCAAATGAGCCTCTTGTTAAAATTCACATGTCACGTGTATGAGTAGGCCCACGTCACAAGAATGGGTAGGCCACATGTCACATGTAGAAGTAGGCCGCATGCCAGCGTTACCAAACATTAAAATACAGAACCTCTTTCTTGGAAAAAAAAAATGCTGCTCCCAAGCCGACCTAAATCCAAGACAAAGATGACATGTTCTCATATCATTAGAGACTGTAGATGGTCTACATGCAGCCAGACAGACACTGTCTGGTAGACTTTCAATGAAGAGTAAAATTGGCCATACTGGCTACCACCGCACTGCAAGGCTCATTTCTGCATAGGGACATCATGTGAAGGTCACTTTCACTTACCTGAGCCCCGCTTCCTCTGGTAGTTGGCACTCTCCTGGTCTCCCCTATGCTCTGGGTTGTGGACTGACTCTTGCTGTCTACATTGCACGACTGTAGGCTCATTATACATGTCAGCATGCCTCCGAATGCCAGAGTGGGGGGCGAGGGGCTGGCTTGCGGGTGCTGGGGAGCGGGGATCAGCTAAGAATAAGTGCTTTGCACAATATACCTATATAGAAATTAGCAGTTAACCCTTGCAGTGCAAGGGTAGCCCCCCTCCCCCCCCCCCC